CGTGACAATATAATATTCTACGCTCCTCAAAAGTGAAAAACACTGACCCAAATACTACTCTTTACTTAAAAAATCCAAGATCTTGAAATCCTACTATTAAACACGATATACTAAATGACAATTTTCTACGTATTTGATAATAATCAAAGAATCATTCTGGTAGACTCAGATAAGATTAAACCGAATACAAAAAAAGAAATTGCCGAAATTTTAAAGCAAAATCATTCTACCTCTTTTGCTGGTCATCCCGGATTTAGCAAAACTTACCGACAAATTAAGGAAGTTTATAAATGGCCCAGTATGAGAAAAGATATCAGAACGTTCATAAAAGGTTGTATCAAGTGTCAATAAAATAAAGTTAATCGTCATCTAATTAAAGCTCCAATGCAAGTTACTTCTACGTCTAATTTTCCATTTGAAAAAATCTTCTTAGAATTGTAGGACCTCTACCAGTATAACAGAAGCAGGAAATAAATGTATTTTACCACTGCAAGACGATCTTTCCAAATTTTCATATGCATTCGTAATTTCCAAACATGAGTCAAAAACCATCGCTGACAAGTTCTGTGAATTAGTTCTAATTTATGGATTACCAAAAACTATTGTGACAAACAATGAAACTGATTTTACGTCCAATCTACTTGAAGAAGTTAATAGTGTTTTTAAAATAAAACACATTAGCACATCCGTTTATAGACCTCAAAGTAATGGAGCCTTAAAACGCTCTCATTCTACGCTAAAAGATTATTTAAAGCATTTTACCAATAAAAGCCAAGACAATTGGGACGAATTTATTCAAACTGCCAAGTTTTCGTCTAACACTCTAGTTCATTCAACTACTCAATTTACACCATATGAATTAGTGTTCGGCCATAAGGCAACATTACCCAATAAAATAACAAAAGACCCAGAATTCCACTATTATGATACCTATATCAAACAATTTCAGTTGAGATTAAATATATCGTTTCAAATTGCTAGAGAAAACATTATCAGTTCTAAAATGAAATACAAAACCTACTACGATAAAGAAATTAATGATTTTAATTTTTCTGTAGGCGACCAAGTTTATGTCCTAGATAAAGATTCAAAGCCCGGAATAAGTAAAAAACTTTCCCCGAATTATAAGGGACCATACAAAATAACAAAAATAAACTCGAATAATTCGTTTCTTTTAAAAATTAAAAATAAGCTAGTTTCGTATCGCAAGGATGTATTAAAACCATTTGCTTCAGACAAAAATGAAGCTGATATATTACACGCTACGTGCTCTTCTCAAAATTACGATGTGTCGCGCCCACCTATCGCATTCGGAGGAGCAGACTTATCAAATAACAGCAATTAATAACCAAGTAGGCATCTTTTACCAATCTCTAGGCACCGTAAAATTATACGATGATTATTTTATTCTCGTTTCATTTTCAAATATTTCTTTTTCCATTCGTAAATTCCGAGTTGTGGGAAAAATATATGCAAAATCAAAAAACACATTTCATGATTCCAATCTTGGAAATAATAAAATATATGTGCACAGTTTCCATTGCAAGGATTTGATGCTAAAATTAAAACAATAGAAAAGAAACTTGATACTATTATTCATTTAGTCGCTCATACATTTGAAACCAAACTTAAACGCAGAGGTTTAATAAAGGGAGTTTCAACTGTATTCAAATGGTTGTTCGGTACATCAGATGCAAACCATGCAGTTTATTAATTATTATAATGACGCAAATAATTCTTTGAAAAATAAAAATCACGAGACTCAGATGTTAATGCAACAACAAATAAGAGTAATGTCTTCTGTAATTGAAAATTATAATAGTTCTGTTGTCTTTAAAATTAAATGAAGAAAAATTCAACAACAATTTCGAAAAATTTTATAAATTTAATGACCAAGCTAGAACACATAATTGACCGAGATTTCATATGTGACTTCAGTAACGGAGCATATTAACTTATTATTGCATATTATAACTGAATTATCTGAAGAATATGATTTGAAAATTTCTTCAATACTTTTTGCCAAGCAAAATGTTATTTACCCAAATGTAATTAATCCTAAAGATTTATTGAGAAATGAACTTCTCAACGTTAAGCTGTATTCAGATTTAACTTTTCCAGTCAGTTTAACAAATAATGAAGATGCATGTAAGTATTTTTCTATTTGTGATCTAAATGTTATTTATAATAATGAAATTTTAACATTCTTAGTTAAAATACCGCTTACTTCTAGATTAACTTATCATTTATTATACAAATTATTACCACTTCCTGTTTTTGATCCTAAGGGCTCGATTTATACATATATTGCCTACGTACCCTTTCTTAATCCGAAGTACGAGTAAAACTAGGTTTGCTTCGATAAAAGATCTGTCTAGTTGCAAGAAGATCGACGACAAGACTCAGTTATGTCAAAGAATATTATAGTTAAGTGTTAACTATAATATTCTTTGGTTATGTGAAGATTTGATAACTTATCTCACTGCTCAGAACGCAAATTGTGAAGTCAGCCTTAAACTCAATCAAATGAAACAGATCTCTGATGACTGCAACACGAAAACCACAGAAGCCAATTTGGAAATTTATCACAAAATTTCCCAGAATCAATGGCTGTTCATTGTCTCTCCACCTGTTGCAGCAAGCTGTCATGTGATGCCACCGAGAACTTTATAGACTTCACATTGACTGAATCTGGTATCTTGAAGCTGAAGCCTCATTGCAAATGTTTCACTCTTCACTGTTCTGTCCTCGACTTCAAACCAAACAAGCAACCTTACCCATTTCGTTCCTGACATCAAAATTGATATTGACGACTACTGTGTCCGAAAAATCGAACAAATGAAGAAGATATCTATGAATCCAATTCGTCCAAATAACATAAATCTAGATGAATCACGTCATGCAAAGCACAAGCTGGAAATGTTCGAAGAAACTTTGCAAAATGAAATTAATAAGCCATTTTGGTTCCGGATATCACCCAATCTTCAACGCCATCCTATCTGTAGCAATCATCTTCATAATCTTGATTGCATTGTGTTGCTGCTGTAATGCTGTAAATGGATAACTTATTTCGGCTGATTTTTCCCCGCAAAAACGATTGCAGATGGAATCAGTATCTACAGCCATGATTCATCGATATCCAACAGCAACATCTTCTTGAATTCCAATGAACTTGTCAGATTTTTGCTGCAAATCCCGAGAGCTCGCCAAGAACCAGAAGCACACGAGTTGAAAGCAGTTGTTGGTACCACTAACAAACCAGATGATACTCAGCAATACCGAAACCCTCTGATGTCAAGAGGGAGACGATCAAGTTCCAAAGGGAAATAAAATTAATCAATCAAATCAAATCAATGATTTTAAGGGGGGAAAAATGTTTTGTTACGCCATTGCTTTGGTGATACTGTTGCACCACTGACCTGCAGCAAAGCTACCATGCTCATTCAGCATTCCGCTTACTCAGCATAGTTATTAAGTTTCCATATTATATTCTATTTTACAGCTTCTTCCTCAGAGATCATTCTTGAATCAACCTCTGATCAAGATTGTCAATCGGGACTTTTTAACTTTAATTTTAATGTCAGTCAAGACTTAATTATTGTTAATCGGGTTGAAATTTTATGAAATACTAATAGGTTACGTTTTGATGTGTAATTGTTTAATAAACGTTACAACGAAATAAATTGATGCCAAGAGCAAGAGACTTGTTTCTTCTCCCTAAATAAGAGAAATAACACTAATCATAATAATTGCATTTTTCGCAATACTAAAAGGACACCCGCCACGCATAAAGCCAACTTCCTGTTAGTTAAGGTGAAACGCAAATGCAACCCACCTCAGCATCCTCTATGAATAAATTGTAAATAAAGCGAACACAACGATATTGATAAAGGCTAAAATAATAAGTAAAATGCATACATTATATTTGAGAATGTATTCAGTGAAATGTTTAATTATTATTTTTCCCATTTTGACGTTTAAAAATGACATTATTGAACGCATAACAATAAAAGTAAGTAGACGTTTATCACCTCAGTGATTTAAAAACATTTTAACTCACTCTCGGCATTTTAAGTCACTCTGCCCAACTAAAAATCTGAAAACTCAGTGATTTAAAATATTTTTAACTGACTCCCGGCATTTTTTCTTGTAGGTACTTTATTTTTTAAATTTCCACAAAATGGGATAAAATTTTGTATATATCACGTGATTTAAAATGTTTATTCATTCGAAGAAAATTAACCCACTCGCTAGGGCTCGTGGGTTAAACTTTCTTCTCATGAATAAACATTCATTTAACTCACTTGGTGTATAAATAACTATTACAAGCAGGCACAACAAAGACTCGAGTTTTGACAATGAGTATGAACAATGGATTTATATGTATTTGCAATTTTATCTCAAATCTATTAACTCTCCATTAAAATTCTTAAAATTTACGAGCATTGCGAGAGAATAGAAATTTTATAAACAGCATTGAAAATACCTATACCTTCCTGTTAGTTAAGGTGAAACGCAAATGTAACCCACCTCAGCATCCTCTATGAATAAATTGTAAATAAAGCGAACACAACGACATTGATAAAGGCTAAAATAATAAGTAAAATGCATACATTATATTTGGAAAATATACCTATTCAGTAAAATGGTTAATTATTATTTACAAGCACGCACAACAAAGACTTGAGTTTTGACAATAGAGGTATGAACAATGGATTTATGTATTTGCAATTTTATCTCAAATCTATTAACTCCCCATTAAAATTCTTAAAATTTACGAGCATTGCGAGAGAATAGAAATTTTATAAACAACATTGAAAATTTATTTTTCTTATATTCAAATTAATTTCTTCGAGGATGCAATAAAATATTTTGACTCGCCCGATTATTGATAGTTTTGTGAGTTATTTTATAAAATTAGAAATTTTGTTAAAACTAACACTAGCCATATAATTTAGTTTGTGCTTCTTGTAAGGTGCAACGTTAGCATATAATAATATTCAGGTATGATTTTTAAGATATTCACAAGAAATTGGATTGCAATCTTGATTCCGAACCGCTTCAAAAACTTTCTTCAATTCTTCAGCTCGTGTTTTGTAATCAATTTCCCTGAAAGACATTTTTGAAATTACTTCTTATTGTAAGGTTTTAAATTATTAGGGTGCTCACTGTTCAGCAAAACTATCCAGTAAGTTCTTCACATGTTTTTCTGAATCTTCAGAAGTACTGGCGCTGACTAGAAGTTCACAAAACACTCGATATTCACAACCATTTTCGTTTAGCTTGTTGAAATAATCTAGGGATGATAAAATATGATTTTGCAGCTCTTTTTTCGGATCATCTGCAGACCGATATCTGGATTGTGTTGTAGTATTATTTGTAGGTGTGACAGTGATCACTGTAGGAGTTAATGCACTTATTAATAGACCTATGGGAATGAATGTGGCGAAGAGTTTCAGAATTTTCTTCCACGGATTATAGCCTCCGCTGTAAGTTTTTTCGTGCGCTTCATAGGCGGGCTTCTCCATTAAATTATATGAATGCTCATACGTTTTTTCATAAGGATGATATTCGTTTTGGTGTTCTGATGGATAATACTTTTTTGGAACCTTGAAGCGTGAATATTTTCAACTTATTCTAAAACTCTTTTTTTTACTTACATCTACAAGCTTATTAAAGTTAAATTCCTCATTAGGTCCATATCTGTTTTTAAATCCACTATGTTCCCTTACAGGAGGGCCATAGCTAGAAGCAGGAGGTGAATATCGCTCTTTTTGATCCGGAGTTTTACTAGGTTCTGGTAAATACCCATTTTGATGTCTATCAACATTGTCTTGGCAGCATCTGGGACCTTCACTGCTGGCTGTTGTGGTTGCCACATACGGGTATGGATTTTGGTTAATGGAGGATGGACCTGACGGGAATTTCACACGACTCACCCATGGAGTGTCACTGAAAAATTATTTGGATTTTATAAATAGGAAATGGAAAAATATAATTAAGATATAATATAGATGAAATAATGGAGAGGCAGTTAGTCTAGTAATAAGTAATACATAACAATAAAAATATAGACTTCAACTAATGAAGAAGAAGTAAGACTTAGGAAAATCTACATTAATTTAAGGCTTTAAGGCTTACATGGATTATGAAGAATGGACGAATGAGATAAATCTCGTTTCGAGTTCTCACTATTTTAAAAACTTGCTGACTAACATTTGCCAAGAAGCAAAAATAGCAATTCACGGATTCATACTCAGAGTAAATGAGAGGAATGCTGTTTCTCTATCTGAGAAATTTTCGGATTAAGATATTAGAGAAATGTGTTCTTTATATCAAAAGAAGGTAAATATCTCAGGTAAATATCGCCTATTATAAAGGTTCACTGAGAAAGATGGTGCCTAACTAAAAATTTTGAAAGATGTTAACAGATGCTTTTTTTTTAAGGTTGCCCGTGCCCTTTGGGTAGAGTAGACGAACAAAGAAAACCGAAAAAAAGAAGCTAAAATATTATAATAGGTAGGCCGAGAGGTATAGGTTTATGGAGATCAAGAATCAAATGATAGAAACCGATAAATATGAATATACAAACTCAGTATTTTTGTTCTTGTCATTCCAATGCGGTTCACTGTTGCTTGTCACACCTTTATATTTAAGCTGAGATTCTCCAAAGGGTCGATTATTATTGAAATTCCCAAATGCTGACATTCCTGGTTGAAAATGATCAGTTTCTGCTGGAAAGGCTTCTCCTCTAGCAAATGAGTTTCTGTCTAAAATAATAGTACCAATAATATCAATATAAAATTAAAATCATTTAGTGCCTTAACACTTTACCATCAGATGTTATAATGCTAGAAACTGTTTTGGCTTCCGGATAGGCAGGCTTAACAGGAAATTTATTAAATTCATAATGTGGTTCAACTTGCACTTGGGGGCTAGGGCGAAACTGATCCAGGTTCTTTTCAGATTCATTAATTTTATCTCTTGTATTAAATTCAATAATATTTTTCGTTTTCTCAACTGTCCCTTCAATTCTATCAGAAATATTAACTTTTTCACTAACAATATCTGAACTGGTTGTAGCTATATCGGTATCAAAAACTGAAACACTTGCAGTAAGATTTCGGGCGAAAGAAGCACCATCACCAATAGGATCATAACCAATTTCGATTTGTGCAGTTTCATTTTGATTTTGCGTGAAACTGCTCTCGAAAATCGACAAAAAAGCGAGAACACTGAACACGCTCAACATTATACCGCGAACGATTTCGACAAAAAGCGTGAAATCTTCCTTCGGAAAGAGTTTTATAAACTCCGTGTCACAATAATATCCGAATAAAACAATAAAATATCGTTAAATTATTACGTGACAGCGCCATAATAACATAATATGGGTTTTCTCCTATTGTATTTACTTATTATCCGTGGACGAACGTGAAAACACATTTTTGGGAAATAACATGCTCTAAAAAGTAAACGCATTTATTATCGTTGCTTGTTGCATTAGAAAATACAGATTCAACTGGTGACTGTAAATATAAACGGTTGACAGTATTCATTGCAAAAATTAAATTAAAATGTATGATAAAAAATACAAAAAGTTTAATTTTTAATACTTAGCAAAACACAAATGTTACGAATTTCTCTGCTAGTAACAGTATACCTATGAGTATGATTTTTTAGACATATGGAATCGATGGTGTAGGTAGGTACTTGCGTCCATACACAGAAAAAACATATCATTCAACTGAAGTAAATTTTGCGTCCAATAAAGTAAATAAGTTTATTTTCAACCACATATGTAATGTTGACATTGCAGGTTTTTCAAAATCTTGAAAGTGTCACATTTCTGGACTTTGACATTTATCGGGACGGTAATGCATATGCCTGCCTAGGACGGAAAAGCATTTTCCGTCCGGGACGGCAAATGCTTTTCCGTCCCCATTTCCCTGCTCGTTCCAAATTGATAATTTTCATACAGCTCTCACATATAATAATAAAACCACATGTATTACATGGAACTAATTAAATCTATTCACTTATTTACATTAATTGTTAAATTAGCATTGTTGTTTATAATGGAAATCTTGAGACCATCCTGTTGGAATTGTGTTTCGTTTGGAACTATTATCTCTTGCGCTTGCGGATGAGTTTCCGCATGTGATGTACTTGTGGATGCACTGGACAACTGAATACCTTTGGAAGTAGAGGATAGCATCAGAGCAGTCTTACTTTTGTTCTCCAAAGATGCCTCTATGTAGCCTTCAGCAACCGTGCTCGATTTCCACCCTCCCAGTCTTTTGAGTTGCAATAGATCGGCCCCGTTGTCAACCAATAAGGTTGCGGAAGTACGACGAAAAGCATGCCCTGTAAAAGTTTCAATTTTTGGAAGCTTCAAAAAAGCAGCTATTTTATGTGGAAATTTTGAGATTGAATGATAGCCAATTGCTTGGTTATGTAATTTCCCATTTCGCCATTGAACAAATAACCTGTCATTTTTCAAATTTTTCCGCAAAGTGAGGTATTTGTGGAAAATAGCAACCCAATCTGGATCGCTTATGATAAACGATCGACTTGTGTAAGTTTTTGTGTGTGGAATTTCTATAGCGATCTTTCCTTCCAAAACGTTGACGTGCTCCATTTTCATCTTGACTAGTTCATCGCTCCTACATGCACCCGACACACCAACAATTAGCGCTACCTGAAACCAGATAAAAATAAAATGGGTAACCTAGCTATAGCATACAGAAAATCATTTTGATTTTCGCATTTTTATCTTCTTTGTATATTTTTTGAAAACCTACCTTGATGCTAATGAATTCTTCAGCTGCCTTCGTGAGGAACTCGTTAATGTTTTCTCTGGAAAAAACGCTCGACTTTTTCGGCTGAAAGCCCAGATTTTGCCGCTTCAAAAAAGCTATAAGTTCTGCGTAATTGGAGATATCAACTTTCTCTTTCAATTTAATCATGGTTTTCAACATACTGTAAGTCGACCATAAAGTCGAAGGCTTCTTTTCCTTAGATAATTCGCCAAAATACGCCAACAAAACGGTCTCCGAGGCAGTATTTCTCGTTCCTTTCTGGCTACACCATGCTTCGAATATTTGAAAAGCCTTTTCGTACCGAAATTTGCTTTTTGCTGGAAGCAAACTCTCTCCAATCCTGTCTGCTGCTTCTTTTAATTCAGGTGGGGTACAATCCATCGCTTCATCTTCACTTTCCGAAATCATTTCTTTGGGGAGAACGGGGAGAAATCTAGTGAAAATCTATTATTTCCGCAAAAATACTGAGCGAAAACTACCGTCGTTAAGGCGTTGTTATCTTATCTATGGTTGTTGATTTTGCGGTTTCCTGTGGTTTCGTCTTTTGTTTTGGCCTTTACAGGGCCTTTGAGATCGTCAAAATTGATGACATTGACAAAAAAAGTGAAATATTTTTTTCTAAGGCCAGTTTTACACTATATGAAAATTTCGTATAACAGAATCTTTAGTTTTTGCATCAGAAAATTAAGGGTTGAAAATAAAAAAGTATACAAACCTCGACGGAAAACTTCATTTCTGTCTCGAGGTTGAGTTTATCTCGACGCTTCGCGTCTCGATAAACTATAATAACCTCTCGACCAGCAATGAAGTATTTTCCGTCTCGGATTGTAATATACTATTATTTTCAACCACATATGTAATGTTAACATTGCAGGTTTTTCAAAATCTTGAAAGTGTCACATTTCTGGACTTTGACATTTATCGGGACGGTAATGCATATGCCTGCCTAGGACGGAAAAGCATTTTCCGTCCGGGACGGCAAATGCTTTTCCGTCCCCATTTCCCTGCTCGTTCCAAATTGATAATTTTCATACAGCTCTCACATATAATAATAAAACCACATGTATTACATGGAACTAATTAAATCTATTCACTTATTTACATTAATTGTTAAATTAGCATTGTTGTTTATAATGGAAATCTTGAGACCATCCTGTTGGAATTGTGTTTCGTTTGGAACTATTATCTCTTGCGCTTGCGGATGAGTTTCCGCATGTGATGTACTTGTGGATGCACTGGACAACTGAATACCTTTGGAAGTAGAGGATAGCATCAGGGCAGTCTTACTTTTGTTCTCCAAAGATGCCTCTATGTAGCCTTCAGCAACCGTGCTCGATTTCCACCCTCCCAGTCTTTTGAGTTGCAATAGATCGGCCCCGTTGTCAACCAATAAGGTTGCGGAAGTACGACGAAAAGCATGCCCTGTAAAAGTTTCAATTTTTGGAAGCTTCAAAAAAGCAGCTATTTTATGTGGAAATTTTGAGATTGAATGATAGCCAATTGCTTGGTTATGTAATTTCCCATTTCGCCATTGAACAAATAACCTGTCATTTTTCAAATTTTTCCGCAAAGTGAGGTATTTGTGGAAAATAGCAACCCAATCTGGATCGCTTATGATAAACGATCGACTTGTGTAAGTTTTTGTGTGTGGAATTTCTATAGCGATCTTTCCTTCCAAAACGTTGACGTGCTCCATTTTCATCTTGACTAGTTCATCGCTCCTACATGCACCCGACACACCAACAATTAGCGCTACCTGAAACCAGATAAAAATAAAATGGGTAACCTAGCTATAGCATACAGAAAATCATTTTGATTTTCGCATTTTTATCTTCTTTGTATATTTTTTGAAAACCTACCTTGATGCTAATGAATTCTTCAGCTGCCTTCGTGAGGAACTCGTTAATGTTTTCTCTGGAAAAAACGCTCGACTTTTTCGGCTGAAAGCCCAGATTTTGCCGCTTCAAAAAAGCTATAAGTTTTGCGTAATTGGAGATATCAACTTTCTCTTTCAATTTAATCATGGTTTTCAACATACTGTAAGTCGACCATAAAGTCGAAGGCTTCTTTTCCTTAGATAATTCGCCAAAATACGCCAACAAAACGGTCTCCGAGGCAGTATTTCTCGTTCCTTTCTGGCTACACCATGCTTCGAATATTTGAAAAGCCTTTTCGTACCGAAATTTGCTTTTTGCTGGAAGCAAACTCTCTCCAATCCTGTCTGCTGCTTCTTTTAATTCAGGTGGGGTACAATCCATCGCTTCATCTTCACTTTCCGAAATCATTTCTTTGGGGAGAACGGGGAGAAATCTAGTGAAAATCTATTATTTCCGCAAAAATACTGAGCGAAAACTACCGTCGTTAAGGCGTTGTTGATCTTATCTATGGTTGTTGATTTTGCGGTTTCCTGTGGTTTCGTCTTTTGTTTTGGCCTTTACAGGGCCTTTGAGATCGTCAAAATTGATGACATTGACAAAAAAAGTGAAATATTTTTTTCTAAGGCCAGTTTTACACTATATGAAAATTTCGTATAACAGAATCTTTAGTTTTTGCATCAGAAAATTAAGGGTTGAAAATAAAAAAGTATACAAACCTCGACGGAAAACTTCATTTCTGTCTCGAGGTTGAGTTTATCTCGACGCTTCGCGTCTCGATAAACTATAATAACCTCTCGACCAGCAATGAAGTATTTTCCGTCTCGGATTGTAATATACTATTATTTTTAACCATATATGTAATATTGACATTTCAGTCTTTTTAAAAATTTGAAAATGTCACTTTACTGTCTCTTCATTTCCCTGCTCCACTTCCCGTCCTCATTTCCCGTCCTGACTTCCCGTCCCCATTTTATTAAATTTTTGTGGCAGGTATTGTCAAGTTTCTTTCAAAATTGATGACAATGACATAAAATTCAAGCAAATAGCATGAAGCTACATTCACATTTCATTTCATTTCTAATTTAAATTGGCAAAAATTATGGTTAAAAATAAAATAGTATACTATGCTCGAAATTTAATTACTGTCTCGAGATATAGAAAAAACTATACAATCTCTCGCTAATTTCCCGTCTCGGATTGTAATATACTATTTTGATATGGTCGAAATCGAAATACATGTAAACTTGAGTCAAATTGATAATGTTGTTGAAAAACAAAGTGTAAAATTTGTTAATTCATACAGGAACTAAATTGAATCAACTTTACATTAATTAAATGAAAAACTTGAGAACCAGGACTCAATTTTATATTTAGTTACATCAAGTTTCTCTTATCTTTGAATAAAGCTATTAATGTTTTCAATAATATATATATTTAATTCAAGTACATTCTAGTTAGACTTAACAAATGATATAATTGAATGAACTGCATGAAATTTTTCTTTCCAATTTTTCCACACGCCAAAATCTTCTCTCAAGTAAATATATTTTTAA